TTTCACAAAAGCACTTTTTTGCTTTTGTGAAAATATTTTTGCATTTTTCTAAATCATCATCCAGCCCAACATTACCACTAAATTCAACCCCTCTTCTGAAGCTTGCTATTATTTCCAGATATGCATCTTTAAGTTCAGCACGTATTCTAGCTCTTTTCTCTGACCCCAAGTTTCTTATTTCATCTTCTACAAATAAATCAAATTCCTCAAGTGCAAATCTAACTGCAACGTTGATATTTGGTACAACTTCTACTTCTTTACTTACTAAACTATTAGGGCTAATACCTTCTGCTCTGTCCTTATGCTGTCTAGGTAAGCTTGGCACTGCAGGTTGTTTTTCAGGTAAAACAGCTCAAAAACCAAACAATCCTCCTACAGAATCTCTTATCCCACTAAACAAATCATTTATCCAAGATGATGGTTTATTTGTAGCTTGACTGTTCTTTATCTTTGATTCAAGACTTAATGCTATTGTTGTCTGATTGTCAGAAGCAGTCCATCCACCTATAAAATTTTTCACCCAACTAACTATATTATTTATTTATTGGGCTAGAAGCTCTTATAGCCGAACTTGCTATACTTTCTGAATATTCCCCACTCGTAACTTCTTTAATAGTTGGACTACGATGTTCCCTATGATGATGTTCCCTATGATGATGTTCATGTCTTATACGATGGCACCTACTACTCTCTTCTCCTAAAGGTGCATTACCACGAGAGTTCTCAGCAGCATCCTTTTGCTTTGCCTTCTCTTTTTCAAATTCTTCTACAATATCTTCTGGACCACAATTGGAAACTATACACCTTGCATTAGAAACCACTGCATCATTAAAAGCAATCATCATTTTTCTTGCTGGTTGATCAGTGTTCCAATTCTTTACTTCTGTGAGAGAATTATTTTTATATGATAGTACTAGGCTACCATCAATAAATTTGACACTACAATCTGATATAGACTTATTTCTAAAATCAACTAAACCAATATCATTTTCATTAATAGGTTGATTATGATAAATCTGTAAGCCTTGCTCACCTGGTTGGTAATACCTGAAAGAACTAATCATTAGCTCTCTCTTCAAATTCTTCTGGTTGAATAATACCATCACTCAACTTTATTGATAAATCTAGGTTTCCATAGTTAAATGCGTTGCTGAATAGAGGCCAAATATCATTACTTACACAACCTAACAATGCACGGGGAGACCAAATATTATTACTTATTCAACCTAACAATGCACTGAGTAGAGAGCAAATATCATTACTTAAATAGTAATCTAATATTAATAATAATGTCTCTCTACTTGATAACAGTAGTAAGTCATTATTGAGTTTCAAAAAAAGCACTTTATTTGAATCAAATGTAAAACAATTATGACGATTTAATAAATCAGTAACTTTAACACTAAATCTTCCATCTATTTTTATACCACACAAGCAATATTCTCTCTCTCAACTTCTGTTTTGAAGAAGTTCATAATATTTCCTCCCATCAGACATAATCGTGATATTTTTATAATTTAGCGGTAACACATCACCATAAACAATAAATACTGCATCTTCTGCTACTTTCCCTATTTTTCCTGCTACTCCAGACCTTCTCAGGATACTTTTTATTCTCTCTTTATTCTCTATATTGTCCTTCATCTCCTTCACAATATCCCTAATCTCTGGATCTATTGAATTTAGATCTATATCTTTAATCTTCGTGATGAATGCTTCAACATTTTGATCTACAGTCTCATCTCTCACACAGTCATAGAGATGAGACTGTATTTGCTCAGAAACCTTGAAAAGCTGATCATAGAACTCAATATTCTTTGCTTTTTCTACTACCTTGTCAGCATTAAACAACTCTTTAATAAAATCACTTATGGCTGTTGCTATTTTCGTTGTGAATTTGTCTCTTTAATCCGATTTTCAGTTCGGTAGACTATCATATACAGCATTCAGGTTATGAATTTCAGGTTATTTGTTAATAGTAATTAACCTGAAAAAAACGTTCATTATTGTTGCAACATTTCAATAAAGTGCATACGAATTTTTCTTGAAGAAAGTTGTAATTGTAAAGGTTTTTATGAACATTTGTAAAGTGTGCAACGTATTAATGTGAATATGTAGTTGAAGTGTTTTTTAAATGGCTGTATTTTTATTCTTTTACAACGTTACCAATTATACACCGAAGTTTTTAGAAAACAGAATCTGAGTTTGTACTGAAGAGGGACTTAAATTACAATTGAGTCCGAAATGCATATAACAAATCAATAAAGGAAATTCATAACCTGAATGCTGTATATGATAGTCTACCGAACTGAAAATCGGATTAAAGAGACAAATTCACAACTCTTTAATACGTTGTTCTTTTTCTTCCTTTATAATATCTTTGTCATGTGAGTCTATGCATAACTTCTCTATATTCCTTATCTTTCTTCTTTTAGATGGTGAACAGCCCATTGAAACTTGTGAACTATCTGAATCATCATGATCTGGACTTGAGACTACATCTGGTCAATAACCATACTGTCCTGGTTGTACAGATATTGATCCATCCGGAGCTTTGTATATTAAAAATTCTGGAGATCCCCATTCAAATGGCTGTCTAGGTGTTCTATCTTGCGAGCCAAAGACTGACCCACTCTGTGGACAGCTAAGCAATCTCTGGGAATTGGAATCTATTGATGAGTGACCAACCTTTATCTTTACTATTTTCTCTTCTAATTTTAAATCCAACATTTCTGATTCATCTATGTTTAACTTATGCCTTTCTGACTCATTGATTCTTAACCTATCTAGTATCAGCTCACCTTCATTTTTTGCCCTAGAATCAAAAACTATAGTTACTCCATCTGCTTCTTCTCAATCAGTAAAAGTCTTATTATTATTCTTATATCTTAAGATTTGCCTCCTGCCTTCAATAAATTTTTCTTTGGCATTTTTGTCTTAGGTATACTTTAATTCCATTATAATTGGCCTATCTTCATTATAATTTCCATAACTGTCCTTTTCTACACACAATACCACCAAGTCTGCTTTCCCTGAGCTGGAATAGTTAGGTTCTGTAAATATTCTTATATCTTTACCAGTATCTTGTGCTGTAAACAAACTTTATAATACTGCCTGAAAGTCACTTTCTGCCATAATTAACTTTTTCAGAGAAAATAAAGCTGTTTTTAAGCTTTCTATTTCTAATTGATTTCCCATTCTATCTAATATTTCTTCATGTTCAATTTTTTTGAATTGACCTTCATATTTATCCTGGAAGTTAGCAACTCTCCTTTTTATCATACCCTGATAATAAGATCTCTCTCTATCCCTTCTACTTCAAAACCACCATTTACTTCTGGATTCATTTGGACATCAATTTGCCTACAGTCATTGATGACAACTGCTAATTGATCAAGTGGGATGTTCTTGTTCACTTCAAATCCTTTCCCTTCTATTATATTAAAATAACATGCTTATTGTCTTGTGTTTTGAACATAAATGTACTCACCATCTTGTTCATTGGAATATGAATATCTTGAGGCGTTTGCCCAGTTCTTGTATTGTGCTCTCTACTTCCAGGTATAATGTGATCACCTTCATAAACAAAAATATGTTTTTCCAGTATGTTGTCAGCAAATAATTCGCCTAAAATTAATTTACTCAAATAATTAGTATTTTTACCGCCGCTGTTTGATTCGATAATCGAGAAATATAAATGGTTGAGCTTTGTTTTTAGTTCCTCTTGTAAAAGTATTCCTGTCTTGAATAACTTTGTAAGCCTCTTAGGCTTAGTTATTACGCCTGATTCTTTTGTTGATACTCCACCCTCACTTGGATCAAAATCAAAGTTTAAACCCACCATCACTCCTTGTTTAGCAAAGTTCTCATGCTTAGTAGGTTTTTAGTATAACCTTGATCTCTTATTTACTCTATTGCATCTTCAGCTAGTTCTCCACCTTTTTTTAATTCTACAACAATTGGGGGTGCATCCCATTTTTTGTTTTGGTTGTTGCTACTACAACGCAAAATAAGCATTAAATCCGCATACCCCTTACCAGCTATACACTCAACATTAATATCAAGTGCATATTTGTATTTAAAATTCATAGCCAGTGCACCATACGTAAACCCATGATACGCCGCTTCTGAGTTACCTAACTTTAACTTTTTAGCCTTCTTTTCTTTACTGTCCGAACTTAATACTTTTTCTGACTAACAAACTAAATCTATCTAAGATTTAAAAACATTCAAGCAATTAAATAACAGTTAAAGGGAAATCACAGCATTACTCAGAAGATAGCAAATTTCAAGCTAGTGTGCAATTTTCTTGTATGTATTTTCATACTGAGATATGAAAATACATGCAAGAAATTCATTATTTTACTACAAAAATAATTAATTTTCAATATTTTTAAAGTCTGCTCATTCAAAAACATAGATAATAGACACACTATACATATAAATGTCATTCAATCAATGAAACATTAAGACATAATATACAGAAGATTTTCATCAATTAAATGCATAAATTTAAATTAAACACAAAGAAAAATAGCAAACGGGTGAGAAGCCATATTTTAATAGCTCGAGTATCACCAACTATTAAAACTCATTCGAAACTTCTATTTATTAATCTTCATTTAATATAATCATTAAAAAAAATAAATAAATAAACCAAGCATTAGTCTAACACTTACCCAACACGTGAGCCATTAATCTTCAAATATGACAACAACGTAGAGATATTAATTATTAATTCTTAACTTTCAATAAATTTAAAAATCGTCGTCTGCCTTTAGACTTCATCTGTTCCGCCATTTTAATACTTTCGTACTCTCGAAGCGTATGTGCATCTTACATTCGTTTCTATAAAATTGATAAACGTCTAAGTATATATTAATTACCGAATAAATTTCGATTTTAAATATTAATTTGTTATTTTAAATCGAATATTATTATTATTATTATTTCTTAATTTTGACATGTTTAATTGATAAATTAATAGCGCCATCTGGTTTTTTAGAATATAAACTAAAGTTTCGGAGAAGAGGCCGGCCACTTCAACCAAATACAGTTTCCTTCTCTCTACCTCTAAATAGCGCTTCGGATAAAAGAAAAATGGTAACTAAAATTTAAATTTAATTTATATTTAGCTTAATTAAATCGATTTATTTACTGAAAATATTATTATTATTAATTTTTTTTATTTTATTTTTTAATTGTAGGCAGATTTAAAACCCGTTGAAGTTGAAAGTAAGTTTTACAATATTGATTCTTGTTTTTTAACTTTTTTTACTTTTGTGTATAATTAATTTTATCTTGTAAAATATATTAAAATTTATATTTTAAATCGAATTGTTTTATTGTTTTGTATATAATAAAACAATTCGATTTAAGCGCACTTTAAGCGCAAAAATGTTCATAGAAGTACTTAAATTTATTAGTTTAAAAATTTAATAAAGTCAAGTATTAATTTTAAAATATGCTAAATAATTCCCTTTATTATTATTATTTGAATTATAAAATTAAAATAATAATAATGCAGCCAAGATTAAAATCTGTATAGAATATCAATGCGCCATAATGCATTATGGCGACTCTCCTCACAGTAAAATTAAGTCAAAGGATTTATAAAACTTTTGTTACGTCCTTAATTATATTTATGCAACTAACTAGAGTTTTCTTACATTACAAAATAATTTTAATTACGATATTAGTTTTTATGTTAAGATGTCAGTTTTTATGTATGTACACTCTCTTCTAATATGCTAAAACTAATTTGTAAATCTTATTATACATAAAATTCTTGCATAGACGTTAAAAATAATTAAGAGTGTAAAATTAAATAACTTTTAAAAATTGTTTAATAAAGCTTTGTTGATAAGCCACTATATTATTTCATTTATTTAATTAAATACAGACAGACATCACGGCCAAAACCTGTTTTTCAGACGATAAATCTGCGATATAATGCAAAATAAACGACGACACACAATTTGACCAAATGCCGTACTTCCTCTATGTGATATTCTACAAAAGACAGGAAAGTAAGAGAGATCACACAACAAAATTCTAAGTATTACCCCATAAATAAACCGCAATTATCTGGAATGTTGCCAAACAGACTAATGCAAGTTTCGACGTCATTTTATTTTTAGAAAAATATGGCTACAACGCTCGTATTTGAAACGATCACCAAAAACACAAACACTAATGCTATCGATTATATTGATTAATATTTATACATTTATGTAACATTCGCACCGCATTTAAGGTTAAGCTCTACCCAACAAAATTTTAATTATTTAACGCTAAATCTGATCCTCTATATTACAAATTTTCCTCGAAAATGCGCTTATTAACAGAAACAGTTGTTCGAGAATATAACATAATAATTACATATAAAACCGAACCTAACGATACAGCTTACTTTACAATCCGCTGTATCGTTTAATATAATCGTTCGAGCTGTATAGTTTAATATAATATAGGTTCCGTTTCGAACAAGTTTTACTGTATACAGTAAAACCTGACCGAAACGGAACCTAAATAAAACGGAAACCCGCCTAAACGGGAAAAATTCTTCGAAACAGAGAAAACTTTCTTATGTTAAAAAAACCTGTCAAACCGAAAAAATATTCGGTACAGGTTTTTACTCCAATGATAATTAGATAATTAATTTCAACGCTTTTATATCTTATGACAAATTCTAGGAGCGTTGGAAAGAACGTTATTACACACTAAATTATGTAATTAAGTAATGTTTAATATAATTTAAGCGTATAGTTTAATAAAGCAATTAAAATTGCTATTTGTCTTATAACTAATTTCATTATTATAATAAAAATTAAACCCCTACAGCCTTTAAAATTAGAAAAAAAAAAAGAGACAAGAAGGAAGAGTTCTTTGAAATTATAAACTAGTTATTAAAATTACCTCCAGAAAGTATAATCTCCAATTATTAAATTCAGTTATTTTATAGGAAATTTTAGCGATTAGTTTAGTCATAAATTTGTTAAATTTAAATATTCTAAAATACTATATTTTAATTTTTATCCTTAACCGAGCTAAAGTTAATTTTATCATCGAGCTACACGAGCCTACTTACTTACACCACGTCGGGATGGCATTGACGGGATTCTTTGGCTCCAACATAAAACGTCACATCCACTTATTGTGCAATTGAATGAGGCGTTTCTGTATAATTTCCATCGACCAATCGCGTTTTTCGTAAATATCGACAAACAACTTCTCTCTCTAACGTTTACTCTCAAAGTGGGAAATACATCGCGTGGTACCTGCGATTAACTCTATAAAAATCGATTGTGGTTTTATTAATAATGGTTACTACAGAAAATAATTATTAATTTTAATTAAAAATATAATTTCTTTACTCGGCAATGAATTAGGTTAGTAGACATTTAAATAATTAAAAATTTCATTTTTTTAAGCCTCTCGTCTACTGTTTTTACTGTGTTTTCTTATTCCGATAATCACAATGTGGGTTTTTTTATTTATTAAACCCGAGACAGAAGAATTATATACAGAAACTAACAATCTATTCTCATTTTTTAATATTTTATCTTCTCTCCAAAATGCATTTTGGGTCTTAAACCCCTGTTCGTGTAGAGTACGCGCAATTTACTGTAACATTACCTGTACTCCGACTGAAGAGGGATTTAAGACCCGAAATGCATTTTAAAAAATTACAGTTTAATTTATAAGCTAAATACTTATTATTATACACAAGTAATTTAATTTGATAATTCAGGGAAAATATTCTGAACTGTATCCATCTTTGACTATCTAAATATAATGATTGATTATAACCAATCATCTAAAGCTTAGCATTCATTTTTCTTACAGCTTATCAATTTTGAATGCATCATGATCAATAACCAAATGCCATTTAATAAATTTTGATGTAAAATTTAATAAACACGGAAGAATAAAAATTGGACGAAGAGATTTTTAGGATGAAAACTGTATTTAAATTTATTCATATTATTAAGGTTTATTATTTGATATTTGAATGATAAAATGCTCTTAGTAGTAATAGGGCTGCAAAATCGCCACAACGAGCTCCGAATAATTGAAATTGCTTAATTATTTTCGTTATATGATTTTTTAAAATCAATTTATCATCAAAAACAATGATGGGCGACTGATTGTAGGTATTTTATTGTACTGTTAATGGACTGTACTCATCGAGTAGAGAGAAACGCCTCAACCTTTTGGCTACTTTTATTTTAAGATTAGGCCCTATATTTTCCAAATAAACTGGATAAAAGTTATAAAATACAATAATGATACAAATAGTCAAGTATCATTATTGACAAGTTTAATGACATCTGACATATTTATCGTAAAATATTCTAATTTATAATCGAGACACGCTGAGTAATTTAGTAATTAAAACAGACCACGCTGTAATGATTATAATAGAAATAAAAAATCCAGCAACAAGTTGCGTAACATTCCCGGCAAAAGTTAAAAATTGTGTGCTGGGCCATCTATTACGAGATTTTATTAAAGGAAAGTTTTTATATTATTAATTATTATAAAATGGCAAAA